TATATTTGGGCGAATATATATATATATATATATATATATATATATATATATATTATACTTAAAAATATATGTTTCCCTCCACATATTTCAATCCAAGAAAATACATTAACGTCACATTTGAAGAAAAACTTTATTTGTTGTCTATAACGTGTGAAGAAGTAACACATTTGACTTAAAGCATTTTCAAGGAACATTGCACAAGAAAAAAAAAGAAAACATAATTAAACATTATTTAATAATTTTAAATCAAGTTTTGATTTTGGCATATGAACGTAGAAACTACAGAATATCAAACCAAAATTTAATTCAGACACCTTCAACATTTCACACATTATAACAGTTTATTTGCTATCGTTTAGAAAATGGTAATAAAATATGACAAGAACTCCGAGTCAAACTGTGTCAGAACAAATTCATCTTGATAATATCAGATAACACTTAAGCAAAACATGGTCAGGTCAAAGTGTCTGAATAATTTTTGGTCAAATTTTTATCAGTTTTACTGGTAGTTCACTGTATGAAGAATTTTTGGGTATAATTTGTCACAGTTTACTTTATTTTGCTATCCTCACTTACATAAATTAACTATAGTGTCCTGCACACACTAGTAAAAAAAATATCAAGAATTATATCTGGTGTCTGAATAATTTTTGGTTTGGTATCAATTTCATTGCATATATTTCAAATATATATTTTCTGTGTATTTTCTTGAAAATGTTAATTGCAAATTATTGTATACAGTATGTGTTACCTGTGTAAATAATTTCCGTCCTGTTAGTCTTTTGTAATTTGCTTTACCATACAAAAGTCCTAATGACATTCTCCTCCAGGAAGTGACATCATTTGAGAAAAACAAATGGTGTAGAAACCATTTTCGCTCAGAAATTGCAAGTACATTTCACAAACAATTACAAAGAAATGTCAAGTAATGAAATGAATGAAACGAAACATTTAAAGTACAAAAATCTTAAATGCTATTTTCTTCTTAAACATGCTCCAATTTTACTGAAAAACATTTACAGTGTACGGAAAAAAAAACTGTACAAAAGGGTTGGACAAAATTCAGAACTGAAGAACTGGCATGCTTTCAATTCATGATTTGAAATGTATGCTCCCCCCCCCCCCCAAC